GCGGGAGTGTGTTTACCCAAAGCCACGGCTCCGGGGCCCGCAGCAGCCGCCCCCCCCCTCCTTGGCCAGTTCTGTGGGGCTGGGGCGTGTGGGCTGCATGAGGGGTCAGGCTCAGCACCGGACCCTGCTCGGGGAGCAAACGAACCCCTCCCCCACGCTGGGACTGCAGCCCCTGCTATCTGCAGGGAAATCATTAACCCTCCTGCACTCTAGCAAATCTCGCTTTCCTGGCTCCGGGGGCAAGGCCCAGCGCCCTGCCTTGTCCGAGGCCTGCCAGGGTCAGGGGCAGAGCCCAACGACCTGTGGGTCAGGCAGACAGAGCGCATTCACCGCCCCTCCCACGCTGCAGCAAGGCGGGCACCCGGGGAGAAATTGCTGGCTGGAGAGAAGCAGGCTGCCTTTCCTCCTAGGTGACCCCAGATTCTGTCTGACTCCGGAGTCACTCCAGATTTCACCCAGTGTAAACTGCAGGCGGGAGGCGCCTCCCCACCCTGGTTCTCTACCATTTCCTGCTTTGGCCGTTTATTTTCGTTAAAGTGATGCTGTCTTTACGCCAGCGTGGGTTCGGCGAGCGCCTCAGCGGGAAAGTCCCCTCTGCTGCCCGCTTCACAAAGACCAAGGGTAGGGACCACCCAGATAGTCACAGCTCTACGGGCTAGTCTGGGTTATCACTTTTATTCCAGTTCCAGTTCAGGTTCTGATTACCCTATCGAGCCCTGCGCCCAAGTTACAAATACAGCCGTCCGGTACTCCCCTCCTCCGGGATATCTCCGAGTCCGATGGCTGCCTGGCCCTCAGGAACGGGGCCGTTCCTGCCAGAGTTTTCCCGTCAGGAATTCATTTTACCCAGTCTGGGAGTCCTCTTTTATCTTGTGCTGCCGGCTACAGCGACACTCTGCACAGGTGCGTGACGGCACCCATCCTCTTGTTCCTTATGTGCACTGTGTCCTCCCAGAACAGGGGAGCCCCAGTTCTTCATAGGTCGTTTGTAGTTCCTTTTATTTCTCATTGACAGTTACGCATGATGAGAAGCCCCCCCGCCCCCCCGTTGGCACGCCTCTCCCTGTCGGTTCGTGGCATCGGCTCATTGTTTGGTCACTTACTCATGTCAAGCATTTCTCAGGCTTCTGGCCTACTCTGGCTAAGCTGGTATCTTACAGGCCTCAGCCTGTAGGCCTTGCGTTTCAGCCCTGCTTACTTAGATACCTAATGCATGTGTACAGGGACTGTTGACCCCTTACTAAAACTCGGGGGGTGGGGGGGTTGGTTGACTGGCTCCCAATCCCAAAAGAAAGGGGGAGGGTCGATGGGAAATCAGGACCCTGAGACTGACAGTCCCCAGGGGCAATGGGGAGAGGCCAGCGCTCCAGGTCAGCCTGATTGACAGGGCGGGCAGGCTAATGAGGGAGTCTGGGGGGGGGTCTTGTTCTCCGTCTGAGCTGGAATTGCCTGGAAGAGACGGGGGTCCGAGCTGAGCCTGGGGGCAGGGCCGCGCCGGCCAGAGAGGCAGCCCAAGAAGCTGGGGTAGAATGGAGCTGGAGCTGGGGCTGGGGCCGTCCGGAGCCGAGTGCGGTGAGCAGCTGGGGAGAGCGAGGGGGACCCTGGGCAGCGGGCCCAGCACAGGGAGACGCCCCCAGCCAAGGGGCCCTGCAGCCCAGTCATGGAGGGGATCCTAACCCTGACGGGACGGGGGCAGTGCTGGGAAGGGTCCTGCCACCTAGAGCCAGAGGGCGTGTGGCCACCACCAGAGCAAGTGTCCGACCCGCAGTTTGGTTCTCGGCACCTGTAGCCCAGTGGGCCAACTTACCCGTATTAGATTCATTGTTTTCTTATTCCGCTTTATTCTGTTTAGTAGCAACGCAAGGAACCGACTGGCCTTTATCCTGTAAGATTTGCCTTTAGTGTGAGGCTTGATGCTTGGAACCTTTGGTATAGAGAAACGTAAGTAACTTATAAGTTCTAGGGAACTGAAAGTGACATGGCAGAGGGGGGATTTTGTCCAGAATACTGACATCAGCCACCCACAGAACATCGCTGACAATGGTGGCCACCGGGGAAGATAAGGACAATGACGGTGATAAAAAACATCATAGTTAAGTATAAAAAATAAGGGTGTGAGTCTGAACGTCCCAATGTACTTTCTGTACTATCTCTATTTGCCTTGGTAAGTTGAGATCTGTGTATAAGCTTTGCTAAATTATTAATAAATCTATATTTGTATAGAGAGAGAGAGTTCCTGTCACGGGAGTGTGGCACTTGTGCACATCCGGGTTCCCAAAATTATATAATAAGTTTACAATAATCTTACTGGGCCGAATCGTGGGACGAGAACCTGTTAATCCTCCAGATACAATGCTATAGACCCACCTTCGGGTCAGCCTACACCCCCCCACTATGCACATTGGTCCAGCACCCCTGGGAGGCAGAGCCCACATTGCAGCTGGGGCGAGGGGGCTGCCGTTGCCCTGCGGACGGGGGCTTTGCATCCCAGTGCGTGCAGGGAGCTCGCGTCCCAGCTGCTCTCGATGCTGCTCATGCTCTCGGAGACGCAGGCTCTGCCCTGGTGTGTGTGTGGGGGCGGGGGGAGGGGGCTGCGTTGTTGTGGGA